TTGCCAGGGGATTTTGCAAAATCATGTCCCAATTCACTTACAACAGCAGTTTCAAAATATCAATTGTCTTGCCCTTGGTCCTTCACACTTTGTCTGCAGCTACTGATTTGTTCAGCCATAGCCTCATCTCCACTTCTAATGCCAAAGTCACTATTAAAACCTTTGCTGTTTCTCACTCTGACCCCTTTCTCTGCTTTGGCCTGTACCTCAAACCTCCCTTTCCTCTTCAAAGTTTTTACGTTTGTTGTTACCTTTCAAATTTATTTGTCCTGAAACACTCTGATTGAATCTTTAAAGCATGCCACACTCCCCTGAACACTTCCCCAAGTTCCTAACCCCAAAATAGCGCTTATGAAAGCCTCAGTTGTTTTGTTAAATATTAACTCCTCTAGCCCTTATCCCTCATCATCCCTACTCTGATTCACCATCCATACCAACTCATGTCCCCATCACTTCCCATGACTTCTTATGCCCTCTATGACAACCCCTGACCCCATCCAGCCCCCATCATTCCTTGTAGCTTCCATGCCAACTTAATGCCAACTCATGTTCATCCATCTACTCCATAGTCCCTTAGAGTCATCATGTCAAGTTAATACAAACTAATTTCCTTCCCCCATACCTTCCATGCCAACAAATACCTCCATCCAACTCCCATGACTGCTTTTCTGGGCTGCATACCAAGTCTGCCACCTCATGCCCCTACAACCTTCATGGTCCTTTATGGCCATTAGGCTATTGTAATGCCAACTCACACTCTCCAATGACCAACTCACATTCTCCCAAGACCAGCCCAGCTTGTCCCCGCCTCTTTGACCTGTCCGTCTTTTCTCCCACCTATCCGGTCCTCCCACCTCACTGACCAACCCCCCACCCCCACTTCCTACCTACTAGCCTCATCCCTGCCTCCTTGACCTGTCCATCTTCCCTCCCATCTACCCGCCCCTCCCTCCCAACTGACCAACCCCCATCCCAACTCCCTACCTACACTCACCTTTACTGGCTCCATCCCTGCCTCCTTCTCCTGTCTGTCTTCTCTCCACCTTTTAGCTCCTCTATCCACCTTCCAACATCGCCTCCCCCTCTCTCTATTTATCTCCGAGTCCCCTTCCCCTCCCCCATTTCTGAAGAAGGGTCCAGACCTGAAACATCAGCTTTCCTGCTCCTCTGATGCTGCCTGGCCTGCTGTGTTCATTCGGCTCTACACCCTGTTATCCCACTCTAGAACTCGTTGGCTATGAAAGAAACCAGACATTGCTATATATTAGTATGTATCAATGTCAGCCCAGTCTGGAAAAATAGGAAGAGTTAGCAGTAGGAAAGACAACTGGTTACAAATAAATACCCAATAAAGCCAAAAATGATAGCTGGCACAAAGCTGATCAACCAGCATTGTAACAACCCCATATAATATGATGAAAGCTGAAGGGAGAAGAGAGAGAAATACCACTTGTGTTATGTTGACAAACAGATACTTTAAATACCAGAAGAGATTTTTTGTCAACTCTTGCTGACACAGGGAGGTTTTCTTTTTATACTTTTCAAGGGTTGGGAATTTAAGTAACTTGACAATTCTACAGCCCTATTTGCCATTAACTGGCACTTACGCCTCCTCCACAAACTTGTACCTTTCTCACTGCAGGATAAGCTTCTTGCTTAAAATTGTGTTTTGATGTGCTCATTCTCATTTTCAAATCCTTCCACGACATTAGCCCACTGTATTTCTGCAATCTCCTCCAGTTCTATACCAGCTGAACTGAGTACATTCCTTCAATTCTGACCTCTTGAGCATCACTGATTTCAGTTTCTCCTTTGGTTGCTGTGCCTTCATCTGCCAAGACCCCATTTTCTGCAATTCCCTCCCTAAATCTTTCTGCCTCCCTACCTTTCTTCCTCTCTTTCCTCCTATCTCTTTGATCAAGTGTTCAGTCATCTGCCTTCTTCTCTCCTTATGTTGCTCGTTATCGTTTTTTTTGTTAAAGTTCCTGTGAAACATCTTGGGACAATTTACTTTGTTCAACACAGTATGTAAGTAGAAATTATTAGAAATATATTTTAAAGTATTTGCTTCGGCTGTAAATATATTAAATTAGAATAAATATGACTATATGAAAAAGAGAGCTTTAATGAACTTTACCCACAAATTCTTATTAAGGAATTATTTTCAGAGAAGCTTTTGGCATTTACGTTATTGGCATAGCAAAGAAATACACACCTAGAACACAAAATTATTGGAAAGACTGAGAATGCACAATTTCCTGATGTGCCATTCAATGAGATATATTTGTTTTCCAAAAACATAAAAATAGAAAATCTGCACGGTGCCATGAAATTAAAGTGTGTTTGAGGTGCAGAGGGATTATACAAGCAGCAAGGTGGCTTTCAATTAAAATTTGCTTACATTTGGATGAACGTCCTGAGTTACCTTGTGATTAATGTGTAAGCTTGGGTGATTCTCTCCACATTAGAAGTTGTTCAAAACCCATTGCCCAATTTTCTTTCTTTTCTATTTTTAGCTCTCCATTAGCAAGACCAAGGAAGCAGTGAAGAGGGTTCTTCAGCTTTTTGCATTCAAAGCTCCAAACATGTTTATGTAGAACAGAGCAAATTTAATAATGTGCCAGTGGTAACTTTGGTCCAAGTTAGAAACATACAGTACAAAAGAGGCCCTTCAGGCCATCAAATTTGAGCCAAGAAAAAATACTCTAAATCTACACTAGGCTCACTTTCCTATACTTAGCCGCAGTCTCGAATGCTGTGCTATTTCAAGTGTTCATCCAAGTATGTTTTAAAGGTTGTGAGGTTTCTCACCTCAACTTCCATCCCAGGCAGTCCATTCCAGATTTCCACCGCTCTCGGGATATGAAAATAATTCTTTAAATCCATTCTAAACTCCTGCCTTTCACCTTAAAATTATGCTTCCTTTGTTATTGACCCTTCAACTAAGGGGAACAGCTGCTTTCTATCCACAATGTCCATGTCTCTCATAAACTAATACACCTCAATCAGGTCACTCCCCCTCCCTTACCCAACCCTTTTCTGATCTAAAGAAAACAACCTGAGCCTCTCCAGCATCTCTTCATAGCTGAAATGCCCCATCTCAGGCAACGTCTAGTGAGGATATACATGGATTGGTCAGATGGGTAGATCAGTGGCAGATGGAATTTAACTCTGAAAAGTGTGAGGTGGTGCACATAAGAAGTAACCAGACAAGGGAGTACTCAATGAAGGCAGGACACCAGGAAACTCAGAGGGATCTTGAGGTGCTTGTCCACAGACCCCTGAAGGTTGCAGGACATATTAATGGGCTGGTCAAGAAGACATAAAGGCCACTTGCATGTATCAGTCTTGGCATAGAATATAAGAGCATGGAGATTATATTGCAGCTGTACAAAACTTTGGTTAGGCCACAGATGGAGTAGCATGTGCAGTTCTGCTCACCATGCTCTGGGAAGGATGTGATTGCATTGGAGGAGGTGTAGAAGAGATACACCAGGATGTTGCCTGGGATGGACCATTTTAGCTAGGAAGAGAGACTGGATAGGTTCAAATTGTTCTTGTAGTGACTGTAATGAGGTCAGCCAACTGGAGCTCATAGAATATAAGTTCCCTGAATGGGGCTGTTAATCTGGTCCAAATTGGGACCCCAGCTGACATATAAAATGGGTGACTATCAAAGATACTGACAATCTGTACCTGATTCTGAATGAGGCAGTACTATAGTCAAGGACTGTCTATGTGTAAAAGGAGGGTGACTTAGCGACAGGATACCGACCTTTGTGGAGTTATTTCAGTTTCCTTTAAAGCTGAGGTGGGGGGAGCCTGTTTGAGGTGTATACGATTATGAGAGACATGGACAGTGTGGGTAGAAGGCGGCTGTTCCCTCTAGTTGAAGGCTCAATAACAAGATGGAATAAACTTAAATTTAAGGATGGGGGGGTTTGAGGAAAATCTTTTCACCCAGAGAGAGTCGTGAGATCTGGAATGCACTGCCTTGGAGGATAATTGAAGTGTGAACCTTACAACCTTTTAAAAATACTTGGACAAGCATTTGAAATGTTCAAGGCTGTGGGCCTAATGCTGGAAAGTGGAATTAGTGTTGAGAGGTGCAGATTTGATGGGCTGAAGGGCCTCTTCTGTGCTGTATGACTCTATGACACTGTATGCCACGTGGAGAAATGGATATTGTTGGTGAGGGCTGAAATCTTCATTCCATCACAAGGCAAATAAATCGTATATCCTGCTATTACTGTCTGTCTGTCTTGGAAAATTTTCAAGTTTATCCAGCCTGCTGGCTGTATTATTAATGTACCTTCCTTGGCCATGAAGTCCTCAAATGACACTCTACTCTGGACCTTCTAGGCTCAGAGATAGGGACACTACCCAAAGTACCACAAAAGGTCCTATAAAGTCTCACGTAGGAACTGGGAAAAGAATTCCTGTGGTCACTCTGTACTGCTATTCTGTATCATTTCAAAATGAAACAACTTGACTTGACCAGTTCTTCACAGTTTAAACTATTTGTTTGGCTGGGACCATAATGTTTTTCTGATGCAATGCAATTTTTATAGATTATTCTAATTGACCTGTTCTACTTAATTGTTGTATCCTGGAGAAAGTTTCTTCCAAGACTTCCATTTTAAAATGTCACTCTGAAAACCTCTGCCTGGTAGTACATAAGAAGCGCTCAGGTTGGATTGTTGCTTTATGTAGGATTTTCTCTTCCATCTTATTGTGAAGTACCTGACCCTGTTCCTTCATGTTGTGGCGGGAATACCTATTGGTAATAAATTGACGTTTATTATGCCATCTTATCCCGTTAATTGTGTTAATTGGAATCTATTGATAGACAGCAAGTATCACTCCCTATTTTGGTTATTTTGTCAAATGGAATGAGGTTCGGCTATAAAGAAAATACAAAAAAAAACTAGTCTTTGAAAATTGTTACAAAGGTAGTCATTAGATATTGCATTTATATCAGTTTTTTTTTAATTCCGCAGGATGGTGATCCTACTCTCCCTCCAGAAAAGAGGAATCAGGTGAGGTATAACCTAACAGAAGGTTTTTGTTTGACAAAGTCTTGTTTATTTTGGCTATAATTACATTTTATAATTAACTGCAACACTAATTCCACGAAAATGAATGAAACGCAGCATGCAACAAAAGGAAATAAGCCTTACCTAGTTTTTGAAATAAATGCCAGCTGTGATCAAATTTCATCCCAGTTGATCACCTAGGATAAAACATGAGCACTGCGTGTCATTGAATGCTCATAAGAGAAGTGCTGGTAGAAATTAGCATTGTGGAGCAACTGAAATGAATCTAGTTTAAAGAAATATTCTAGTATGACCCAAAGGATTATTTTAAATTTAAAGATAATATCTAGAGGGATATTTGAAATTTGAGAAAACTCATTGAGGTCTGTTGTTGCTCAACTTGACAAACTACCAGGAGTCTCTGAAACAGGATAATGATCATCTCGGAGATAGCAAGAACTGCAGATGCTGGAGTCAGAGACAACACATTGTGGGGCTGGAGGAACACAGCAGGCCAGGCAGCATCAGAGGGGTTTGAAAGTCAACGTTTCAGGTCGGGACCCTTCTTCAGAATGATCATCTATTTGAGCGAACCCAGGGAGAGTCAGCCTTATCAGTATAAACCAACTCTGCAAAGATCCATATTTTCCAGCTTTTAATGAACAAGACAAGTATTAAATTCCGATCTGATCAGTTTACACCATATGTTGACCAGATGTCCAGGCGTTAGTTTATTAATTTTGCACAGTAGGCATTATTTATATTTTACCCAACGTCTTCTTTATCTTTGCTGATAGTGTAGCCTATCCTTTGTCCTATTTCTGTATACCTGTGGTTCTTCAGCTTTGTTTCATTTACTTTAACTAAAAGTATTTCTGACGGAAAATTAATTTTCTTAACTCTTAATTAACTGAAACTGATTGAACCCCTTCAGCTACCCTTGGTCTGGCATAAAGTAGCCAACTTAATGGTAATGGCGTTTTCATTATGCTGTGTCACCTATGGATATTGACCAAGTATTGAACTTGACATTTTCAAGATACTTGGTTATACCATCTATCATGGCTGACCCAGCCACATGTACTCTTGCTTCATGAATTTGGCCCCACATTCTCCTAATCCTATACCTTTTGCCTTAGATTCTCTTGTGTATCCTTCTGGTGTGGTGATCCAAGCAGGTTAAGTATAGAACCAACTGGATGGTAACCAAAATGTTGGAAATAACCCTAATCCATAGGTTTATCTGTTTATTTGCTGATCACTATTTTCACAGGTCCTCCCACCAAGTGGTGATATGTCTGATATCGTCAGCTAATGCCCAACCATGTTGCTACAGTGTGTTATATATTTCATGCACCTGCTGGGCCTTAGCTCAAATAGCTGTAAGGTATTCAGGCATTAGTGGGATTAGATAGGAGGAGATAAACCATGCAAGGGTACAGGTAATCATAATAAAAAAATAGCTGCTAGACTTTGGGTCTAGACTGTTATGAGGACAAGATGATATTTTCCTGCAATGATCACTGGTTAAGGTTCACTCTGTCATCATTGCTGAACTGTGGAAAAACAAATAGTGGGATTAGATAGGAGAACTGGCTCAGATACTGTGTCAGAGTCTTTTAAATAACTGCACAGACACCGGTATCTTGTCACCAAGTCACCCTTAATTTACTTGCACACAATACACTGGCTATGGCCAGCCAGCTTGGAGTCAGTCCCATGAACTGAGGAGATTTTAAATCCCCAGTTTATACGTTCATTTTCTCTCCCACAGCACCCGTGTTGTGTGTGTGTAAGCGCAGGGACTCAGTCAAGACACTGTTGTGCAAATAATTTTATTCAATATTTCCACCACCAGGAAAAAACACCCATGTGGCCAAGGAACCAGTGACAATCAAAGTCTGATAGGGGTAATGCTTACAAGAAAAAAAAGTGAAGGGGGTGGGTAGGGATTAAATCAAAATATCCCTGTTTATATTGGTCAGCGAGGGCTTCCTGATTGGGGTTGCTAACCTGGGCCAATCAAGGTTCTCATAGCCAATGAGATCCACCTGGTTCCAATCACTACAGTTTTCATAAAAACCAAAAGAACTGCAGATGTTGTAAATCAGGAACAAAAACAAAGTTGCTGGAAAAGCTCAGCAGGTCTGGAAGCATCTGTGAAGGAGAAAACAGAGTTAACATTTTGGGTCCGGTAACCCTTCCTCAGAACTGATGGTGGCTGGGAAAACGTCATTTTATATGCAGAAAATAGGAAGGTGGGTGGGGTAGGGAGTAAATTAAAGTCGGTGGGCAAGAAGAGAGAACTACAGTTTTCATAATGTCTTCCTTCATCTGTATGTTCATTGTTCCTCTCCTGTAGATTTCTACCTGTTCTATGTTTCCCACCCGAGCTGGTACTTATGGTGAGAAAGATACCACATGGCTGGTTATAGCACAGCATCAGTTTATCCCATGTTGGTACTCTTTTTGTTTGTGATAATGCAATATCTCCCTGTACCCAGATATGCAATGTGAGTCAGTCCCATTGCCATTGCTGCCATCGATGCTCATGGCCAGTTGTGCTGCCTCATCTGCCCATCAGCTACCAACTTGGATGAGGTCTGTTTCCTTCTGATGTGCTTCAACCTTTATCGCTGCTGCTTCTATGTTATTCTAGCAGCTTTTACTGATTCCTTAAATACTGTCTCATGCTGGACACGCCTCTTTGCTCAGGTAATATACTCCCCTTCAACTCCATCCTGCCATCTAGCCATGTGCCACTCCAAAGGCTTGCCCGCTGTTGGTATAAATGTTAGCCTGTGGAGTGTGGTAGCATGTTAAATGTGATAATTTGTACCCACCATTTCAATTCGTTATCCTAGTTCTATTTCTTCTTCACTTACAAAACTACCCCTAATTCCTGAGATAGTAGGAACTGCAGATGCTGGAGAATCTGAGATAACAAGGTGTAGAGCTGGATGAACACAGCAGGCCAAGCAGCATCAGAGGAGCAGGAAGGCTGACGTTTCAGGCCTAGGCCCTTCTTCAGAAATGATTTCCCCCTACCCTGGGGAAAAGAACTTGGCTATTCACCTTATCGTGCCTCTCATGATTTTATAAAATCTCTAAAAGGTCACCCCTCAGTCTCATACACTCCAGGGAGAAGATGTCCCAGCCCCTCTTTATAATTCAAACCCTCCAATCTTGGTGACATTCTTGTAAATCATTTTTGCACCATTTTCAGTTTAGTAATTTCCTTTCTATAGCAGGGTGACCAGAATTGCATGCAGTATTCCAAATGTGGCCTTTGTGCTCCCTGTGCAGCCGTAACATGACATCCCAACTCCTGAACTCAGTGCTCTGACCAATGAAGGCAAGCGTGCCAGATACTTTCTTAACCACCCTGTCTACCTGTGACACTACTTGCAAGAAATTATGTATCTCCACCCCTAGGTCTCTCTGTTCAACAACCCTCCCCAGGGCCATACCATTAACTGTGTAAGTCCTGCCCTGGTTTGTCTTACCAAAATGCAATACCTCATGTTTATCTAAATTAAACATTTTCAACTGGGCTATTGTCACCATCTTCTAATTTGGGAAAAACAGAAGCCAAATATTCATTGAATACCTCTACCCTACCCTTTGCTTCAGTCAGCAGCTTAACCTGCTTGTTCCTTATGGGCCCTACTCTATTTTTCACTAACCCCTTTTACTATTAATATATTTGAAGAACATTTTACTGTTTGTTTCAGCATTGCCTGCCATTCTTTCCTTATGCTTCCTGTTAGTATTTATTATTCCGGCCTCTCCTCTCCTGCATTTGAGATACTCTTCCTGATTTCTGATTTCTATTATTCCAGTGTGCATTATATTCTCCTTTGCTTCCTTATTTTCTTACCAATATACTTAGTTATCCAGGGTATTGTAGCTTCGGATATCACATATTTATTTCTCATGTATATGTATCTAATTTGCACCCTATTCATCTCTTCTGAAAGTCTCCAATTTTTCATTCACTGTTTTATCCACCAAAACACATTTCCAATTAACCTACTCCAGTTCAACTTATAGATCTCTAAAGTCTGCCCTTTTCCAACTTTCTCTTACTTATACTAATCTTAGCTGCACTTTCCTTTCATTTAGAAACACAGAAGCCCTACAGTGTGGAAGCAGGCCTTTCGGCTCATTGAATCCATACTTACCCACTGAAAAGTATCTCATCCAGACCCATCCCCCGCACCCTATCCCCATAACCTCCCATTTACCGTGGTTAATCCACCTATCCTGCACATCTTTGGACTGTGGGAGGAAACTGGAGCACCTGGAGGAAGCCCACGCAGACACTGGGAGAATGTGCAAACTCCACACAGACAGTCGCCTGACTCTGGAATCGAACCTGGGTCCCTGGCACTGTGAGGCAGCGCTGAGCCACAGTGCAGCTTCAAATGGTGAGGATAACACAGAGCGATGGAGATAGGTTAAGCGATAGATCAAAGAGCTTGGCACTGACAGACAGCAGTGCTAACCACTGAGCCACTGTGCTGCCCCAGGTTGGGATTTAACCTATATTAATCCCAAATTGGTATAGTCAGTTTAATTACACCTGATAAATTATTCCAGGGTCTCAAAACAAACCAAATTTACTGGTTCACGAATTACACAAAGAACTGCAGATGCTGGAAATCTAAAACAAAAATAGAAATTGCTGGAGAAACTCAGCAGATTTGGCAGCACCTGAGGACGGAAAGCAGAGTTAAAGTTTCAAGCCTAGTGACCCTTGTTCAGAACTTAAAGTAGCTGGGAAAAGGTGGTGTTTATGCTGTTGTGGCGTTTATGGAGGGAGCTTGGAAAGGAGTGAAACAGTAGTTGCAGATGGAGCCCAGAACAAGAGAAAGGAAATTATGCAGGTAAAGGTTGGTTGATAGTAAGCCAGGGAAGGAGAAAACCTGATAATAGGGACAAAGAGTAGGTTAAAATAGATTTACTGTGCTAAACGCAGTCCATGTCATGACCAAACCTCTGGCTTGGGTGAGGGTAAAGGACATGGAAGGAAGTGCTCAGGCTCAAAAATTACCAAACTTGATATTGAATCCTGAAGACTGCAGAGTCCCCAAGCAGGAAACGAGATACTGTTCTTCCAGCTTGCACTGAGCCTCACTGCAGCAGCCTTCTCTCTCGAAAACATCTTTTACGTATTTTCTTCAGACATTCTCCCACACTGTGTGGCCTTCGTTTCCTGACCAGTGTGGCTTTCAGCTCACGTTAGCACCTTTAAGGGATCTGACGTGTCTCTACGGATTTTGCACCCCTGTCCTGCCAGTGTGATTCTGCCCCTTCACCCATTGCCTCTTGCCCTGAGTCCTCCTTCAGATTCTTTGGATCCCATCCACATCACTGTGGAGCAGCTCTCCCCTAATGATGGGCTGGTAAACTAAAACATACTCACCCCAAATGCAGCGCCAATCTCATGGAAATGACACAGGGTCCTCCCAGCTACACTTGGTACTCTTGCCAGCCCCACTTGAAAAACTGCCAGGGGACCGAGAAACAGGATAACAATCATTTATTCAAAAGAACAGGAGAGTCACCTTATTGGTGTGAGACTAACTCTGCAAAGTTTCACTGGTTTCCGGCTTTGTTAATCAATGAGTCAAATATTAAATTCCTCTCTGACCAGTTCACACTATATGTTGACCAAATGTCCAGGTGTTGGGTTGTTCATTTCCCAAAGTACGTAAAGCAGGCAATGTTTGTATTTTACTTGGCTGATTGTGTGGACTGCTCTTTATCCTGTTTCAGCACCTCTATGGTTCATCAGCTTTGTCTGAGTTACTTTAAGCAAAAGCATTTCTGACTGCAAATTTAGTCCTTAATTAACTGGAACTGATTCAGTCCCTTTAGGTTATCAGCAGTGAATTTTTAATCCTGCTTTCCAGATAAGGTTTGTAACTGAAACAGTCGTGGAGGTCAGTTGGCGTTTTGCATTTGTGTAGCAATTTGTTTAATTTGCTGATGTTGAAATCTGACATTTTCTTGCTTGCTTAACAAAAAAGAAATACCTTTTGAACTGTAGCAAACCCATCAAACCTTTATTTAATCCTATTTGCCACGGGCTACTTAATACTAGTGAACATGACGTCTTTTGTTTGAGTTTACTGCCTGATGTAATTTAAGTTTTACAAACAAGTTAAATGAAGAAGGCTTAACAAGTGTTCAACAATAAATGCTCAGCAACAGGTACTTGACGTTATATTTCTCCTTATGTTAATCTCTTTCTGTGGAACGTGAATTAAATAAATCATATCGGTGCTGATTTTTGTACATGAAGATAATGAATCAACTCAAAAGTTGAACACTTGAAACAGAACAAGATAATTTTACAAGTGAGCATTTATAATGTGGAAGTAAATATGATCAAAATGTGTTTCTTTGTACAGGCAAACCTCGCACAACTATTGAGTAGTTCTCGAGAGCGGAATAAACAGTTGACAGAGGAAATCAAAGAACTCCAGCAGAGACTGACTGAGGCACAGGGTGATAACAAGGTATAATTGATAACAATAGATTAGAGTTGGGAGTTGTGAGAAGAAGGAGAAAATCTTGTCTGCTTGAGATAAAGGGAGAAGGGAAAGAAAATCTTAAAAGCACAAAAATAGTGGAACATGAACTAAAGTAACAAAAAGTTGGATACGTGGTAATTTCATAGTTCATGTAGTGAACCAACAATGAAAACTAAATAACTGCAGTTCTGCAAATGACTAAAATGTTCTGGTTAATATGTTTTTGTTAGCAGGAACAGTATGCATTTCAGCTGAATAAACACGTCCATTGACTTGCTCTGAACTGTCAGAAATTCACAATTTGTTGCCTGGTCTTTGAGTGCTTATAAGACACTAGGCACAGACCTCTAAGATGTGGGACTGAAGATCACAGATGACTTGTACATTGATGGAATGCAATCCATTTATCTTGATAAAGTTAGCCACGCTTTGATATGGTGCTCTCAATGTGTACAGTTGGTGGCACCCTGCACCTGAAGGATACCAGCGATGTTATCAAAGCCTACTGCCAGGCTGCCGAACTGACTTTGTCATGAGGAATTGGGATGAAGTGGTGTGATCTGTCACAAATTGCATCGGTAACAGCCTTGATATATTTGTGGGTCAAAGATTTTGAGATAGCACACTGATCGCCAGTGAATGCTTGGAAGCAGTAAGTTGCATTGAGTTTAGTGAAGCAGTCACCTGGCCAACCTGCCTATCCATCTCTTCGGGTGATAGATCCTGCTGCAGCAATTGGCACAGTACAGTGGCAATGTTCGGGGACATCCTCAGTCCGTGGGAGGATTGTGCCCCACTCATCTGGCAGATATAGCACTGACGATGAAAGACTGTAGGCCTCCTGTACTTTCGTTGCATCCTGAAGGGAGCTTCAGCTGCAGCCTTGTAAAATGGAAGCTGTTCAGCTGACACTGGAGGATACTACTAGACCTGGTCTTGCCAATGCATTTGTTCCTCCGCAATTTCTCTGCACCTTTGCTGTGCAGCAGCCACAGCGATGATAACTGCAGTTGTGTTTGGATCTATTTGGTCACAATTCCAATGAACCTGTGTGGGGAATGTCAGAAACAGAACAAGTTCGCAGTAATGTGAGCAGTCAGCATTCATACCATGCACAAATGACGACAGTTTTGAATAATCTGCCATATGGAACATAGAACATAGAACGGTACAGCACAGTACAGGCCCTTCAGCCCACGATGTTGTTCCGAACTTTTACCCTAATCCTAAGGTCTATCTAACTTCTACCACTACCTTATACTATCATCCATATGCCTATCTAATAGCCGCTTAAATGCCCCCAGTGAGGCCGACTCCACTACCCTGTCCGGCATTCCACGCCCCAACCACTCTCTGAGTAAAGAACCTACCTCTGACGTCTCCCCTATATCTACCTCCACTCACTTTAAAACTATGCCCCCTCATAATAGCTACATCCACCCTAGGAGAAAGTCTCTGACTGTCCACTCTATCTATACCTCTATCAGTAGTACACCTCTATCAAGTCACCTCTCATCCTTCGTCGTTCTAAAGAGAAAAGCCCTAGCTCTCTCACCCTTTCCTCGTAAGACCTTCCCTCCATTCCAGGCAGCATCCTGGTAAATCTCCTCTGCACCTTTTCCAACACTTCCTGTAATGAGGTGACCAGAACTGGACACAATACTCCGGATGTGGCCAAACCAGGGTTCTGTATAGCTGGAGCATAACTTCATGGCTCTTGAACTCAATCCCTCTATTAATGAAAGCTAACACACCATACGCCTTCTTAACAACTCTATCCACCTGGGTGGCAGCTTTCAGGGAACTGTGGACATGAACCCCAAGATCCCTCTGCTCCTTCACATTGCCAAGAATCTTTCCGTTAACCCTGTATTCTGCTTTCAAGTTTGTCCTTCCAAAATGAATCACCTCACACTTTTCAGGGTTAAACTCCATCTGCCATAGTGGGACATGGAGGACAAGGAGAGCCATGGAATATCTTTCATGAATCTTTGACATAGCGGACCTTATTCCAATGAATGCAGCATGACCAAGCCGTGCCAAACACACATGATGTAACACATGATGTGTACGATGCCAAGCTCCGTGGACAGGGGTGCGTATATTCAATGCCCATGAGATGTGCCATGAGATGTTGGTGTCTGGTGTCCCAGCTGGAGACCCAGAGAAACAAGCAATGAGCCGGAGCCATCAACATGATTTTCATGTTGGAAATTGTCACTGTCTAGTTTCATTGAATAATACAGTTCAGTAGAAGCCCTTCAGACCATCCAATCCATCCCGTAAATATGCTACTACCTACAATAATCCCACTTCCCGCAAGTTTTTATCTTGTGTGTGGGTGGATGGGAAACTACATTTTAGAGAAGTGAGATTAGATGAATGGCTTGCAAATGGATGCTAATAGGCCTCTTCCTACTCACTAGCAAGATTTTGCCTTGCTTTTCATTATTTGGTTGCAGAACCCCCCTTCATTTCCTCACCAGGGCCTCCCCAGCTAAGTATTCCTCACTTACCTTCAGCCTGGAGTTGCTGCAGTACCAGCACTGAGCATCATTTGTGGTGGCGTACTGGAGAGCTGCGAGCTTCTGATTGGTCACAGTTCCTGAAGTTGGGACAGCAGTCCTTTAACATGATAAAGATCCCAACTCACCAGGTAAGTTACTGACACGCGCTCCCAATAACAATAAGGATAGAGTCCCCTTAGTCCTCACATACCATCCCACTAACCTCCAAATACAAGGTATCATTCTCTGACATTTCCGCCACCTGCAATCAGACCCTATCATCAAAAAGATATTTCCCTCCCCACCCTGTCTGTTTTCCACAAGGACTGTGCACTCTGTGACTCCCTTGTCAGCTCCACACTCCCCACCAGCCCCTCTATCACGCCCAGTACCTTTCCCTGCAGCTGCAGGAGGTGCTACACCTGCCCCTACAGTTCCCGTCTCACCACTCCAAAGACTCCAAAGAATCCTTGCAAATCCAGCAGTGATTCACCTGCACTTCATCTAACTTCATCTACAGTGTCTGTTTCTCCTGATGTGGTTTCCCATATATCGGGGAGACTAAACGCAGAACTTGGAGACCAGTTCGCAGAGCACCTGCGCTCTGCATACACCAACCAATCTGACCTTCCGGTTGTCATCGACTTTAACTCCCCCTCCCACTCCCCTGATGATATGTCCATCCTTGGCCTCCTCCACTGTCAGAGTGAGGCCAAACGTAAACTGAAAGAACAACACCTGATATTTCTCCTTGGGACCTTTACAGCCCAATGGCCTGAATATTGACTTCACCAGCTTCAAAATCTCTCCACCCACAACCTGTCCACCTTCTGACTCACCTATCCAGTCCACCCTTCCCACTGACCAACCACAATAACCCCCTGCCTGCATCTGCCTATCTCCATCCCTCCTACCCTCCTCCAAGCTCCACCCTCTCCCTCTATTTACTTCTGGGCTCCCCTCCCTAGTCCCCAGTCCTGACAAAGGGTTTTGGCTCAAAACATTGACTTCCCTGCTCCTCGGATGCTGTCTGACCCGCTGCGCTTTTCCAGCTCCACATTTATTGACCCCTACATTTGACCCGTTGAGTTCTGCAGCTACTGGCCTCAGGTTCATCACTTTGCTAGCATTAGATTCCACCCCATGAAGTACTTTATGAAGTGTAGGAAAACACAGCAGCTAATTTGTACTCAGCAATGTCCCACAAACCCGGAATGTGATAATGAATACTCTGTTTTTCTGATGTTGATTAAGGAATCGATATTGGCAACAACGCCAATGATAGCTGAAATAAAACAAGGAAGGGCGGATAGTGAAGATCTAAATCAAAAACAGAAATTGCTGGAGAAACTCAGCAGGTCTGGCAGCATATGTGGAGAGAAAGTAGAGTTAACATTTCAAGTCCAGTTATCTTTTCCTAGAACTGATAGTAACTAGGAAAAGGTGGTGTTTATGATGACAGGGGATGGGATGGAGAAAGAGTGAGCGGATATGTGGAGAGGGAGCCCAGAGGGAGAGAGAAAGACAGTCAGGCAGAAAAAGGGATGGTTGATAGTAAGCAAAGGAAGAGAAAAGCTGATATTGGGGACAATGAGTTGGTGAAAATGGATTGGCTGTGCGGAAAGCAGCCAATGTCATAATAGGGCATGGGGAGTAGGTGGGCATAGTACATGGAAGGAGATATATCAGGCTCTAAAATTATTGAACTTGGTATTGAGTCCTGGAGGATACAGAGTCCCTAAGTGAAAGATCAGATGCTGTTCTTCCAGCTTGCACTGAGCTTCGCTGGAGCACTGCAGCAAGCCTGAGACAGAGGTGTTGGCCAGAGAGCACAGTGGTGTGTTGAAGTGGCAGACAACAGAAAGCTCAGGGTTATTTTGACAGACAGAATGTAGTGTTCTGCAAAGTGATCAACCAGTCTGCATTTCATCTCCCCAGTGTAGAGATGATCATATTTTGAGCAGCGAATAAAGTAGACCAGATTGAGTGAAGTGCAGGTAAATTACTGCTTCACCTGGAAGGTGTGTCTGGGGCCTTCGATTGTGAGGAGGGAGGAGGTAAACGGCAAGTGTTGTACCATCTCCGATTTCATGAGAAGATGCTGTGGGCATGTGGGGATGTGTTGGGAGTGGACGAGGAGTGAACAAGGGCGTACTGGAGGGAACGGTCTCTAAGAAATGCTGACAAAGGAGGCGATGGGAATATGTCTGGTGGTGGCATCTTGCTAGAGGTGGTGGAAATGGTGGCTAATGATCCTTTGGATATGGAGACTGGTGGGGTGGAAAGTGAGGACCAGGGGGATCCTATCAGTATTGTTGGAGGGGAGAGAAAGGGCGATGGGCAGGAAATGGATTGGAGAAGTCTAAGGGCCCTGTCAGCTGCAGGTGGTGGGGAATCCCTGGTTGAGGATAGCTTCCTTGCTCTCGAATTAATGCATGGGATCTTTTCTGTTCACCCTAACAGGCAGATGGGGTTTCA